TGTGGTGGCATTATTTTAGAAGTGTCATGTATGGTGTGGTGAACATAAAAATGGGATTTTACTGACACCTTAACAACCTCACTATACTGTTCCATACTGCATATGGAATTTCACTAAAAGTATACATGATGAGAGTGAATTGAGGGCACTGAACTTTGTAGTGTTGGATCATGAGTTTGAATTCTGTCTCTGTGACCTTGGATGAGTCATTTTAACTTCTCTGTGCCCCACTTTCCTCAATCTGTAAGATGAAAGGGTTATATTACATGCCCTTGGTCCTCTTTGAATGATCTAAGGTCCCTTCCACCTCTCAAAGTAGAAAACATTATTTCTTTTTTTTTCTTTCCTCCCCAGCTTGAGAATTAAAGAAAAATAAAACACCTGTTTTAAAGATGTACTGTCAAGCAAAACAAATTTTTCCACCTTGCCCATGTCCAAAATAAATGTTTCATTTTGCAGTTTGACTGCTTCACCTCTCTCTCAAGACATAGGTAGCATATTTCATCATCAGCCCTCTGGAATTATAGGTGATCATTACACTTTTCAGAGTTCCCAAGCCTTTCAAAGTTGTCTGCCATTAGAATGTTGGTGTTATTGTTCTCCTGGTTCTATTCACTTCAGTCACTCTCCATCAGTTCATACAAGTTTTCCCAAGTTTCCCTGAAATATCACCTTCATCATTTCTTCCAGCACAATAGAATTCCATAACATTTATATACAATAACTTGTTCAGTCACTCCTCGATTTATAGACACCCCTCTCAGTTTCCAAATCTTTTCTACCACAAAAAAAAGCTGTTAAAATATTTTTATACATCCTTAGAGTTTGTTTTGGAAAGCATTGTTTCTTAGTGATAAAAAAAAAAGGCTATTTTGATGTGCTTATTGATCTGTACATACATAGGTCTTTTGGAATAAAGTTCATTCATTTGTACCAGTCTCTCCTGGTTTTCAGCCACAATGCACTTGGTCCAGGTTATCTGGTGGAACTAAAAACTTCCTTTAGTTAATTCAGATGTTTATGAGCTAGACAAGGGTAAATATAACATTTACTTCATGTTTATCCTTTGGGAAAGATTAAATGTCATGGACCTCTTCCAGATTTTAATGGATTGAACTGGTTTCACGCTTTGGTGATTTGGGGGTGAGGTATATTTTTCTATGCAACCTTACCCTGGGGGATAACTAGTGAACCTGCTGAGAGCTTAAGCAAGGACATCAAATATGTGACTGTCACCAGGAAAACATGTTTGCCAACAAATTAGGTGTTTGGTAGGTAAGATAATCCTTTCCGCTGTTTCTCCTTCCCCAAACACACTTTAGGTGTAATGATCATGAGTAAATCCCAAACTAAGTCTTTTTGACTCTCTCAAAGGGCCTCCCAATTGATCCTATAACATATCCTGACAATTGGAGAAAAAAAATGTAATCTGGGTCCTGTTTACAATGGTTTCTGAACCATCTTCAGAGGCTAAATCCTTCCTGCACATCATTGTTGGATTGATCTTTTATCATAATGTGTACTGCTTAAAAATCTTCAGTGACTCCTCTTTGCCTATAAAAGTCCAAATCTCCATAATCTTCTTCCTCCTTACTATTTCAAGTGTGTGTTTTAACTGTCCATAAACATCCTCTCTGAATTAGGCAGATTGAGCTGTCCAAGGTGTGTCCCTAAAACACACCTTGAGCATTGCTTTGTAAGCATCTAAAGTCACCAAGACTGCTCTTCCACTTCTTTCCAGCTATTTCAGTCTTACCCATCTTTGAGAACTTGCTTAATTCCCCACCCACAATTTTTATTTTTTTGTTCCTCCAAGTTTCTTTTCATGTGTCATCTTGACCAATCATCTGACCCAATGTCATTTTGGACTCTTACTTGTGTGTGTGTGTGTGTGTGTGTGTGTGTGTGTGTCCGTTCAATCTTCCCGCAATTAGATTATAAACTCTATGAGGACAGGATTGTATTATATAATTTAATTTAATACAGTGCCTTGAACATAAAGGCCCACAGTTATGGGTGTGTTAGAGCTAGCCAAAGCCTGCTTGCAAGAGCTGACTGATAAATTTCGCTGTGAACGTTTACATCTCAGATTAGGGATCATTTTAGTATTTTGCTGAATCTGGTTCTGCACTGGGAATGTTGTGGGCCACATGCACAGTGTGTGCACACCTCTGGTCTGAACTTAAGAGCATGATGGAGAAAATGGTAATAATGCAGATTAAACTTAAAAGTATATCATGTACAGTATACATTTTTTCCTCTGGAGAGCAAGTTATTAAACATTTACCAGCACATGACTACCCCTAGTATACATTTGATGGGGAAGAAGATTCATAATAATATAGGACTGACAATTGGAAGAGGCCTTCAAAGGCATCTAGTCCAACCTACCCACCACCATTACCACCATTTTACAGATGAGAAAAATAAGACCTTACAAGGCAAAATCACTTGCCCAACAGGGAGTATATGGTAGGGCCAGGATTCATTGATTGATAGGTCCTTTTTTATAGAATATTCCATATTAAATAGTTCTTTTTATAGAATATTCCATATTATATAGACTCAGTGTCTTAGAAAATGAGAAATGGACTATTTACTTCTTGTCCATCACTTCAAGCCTCAGGCTCACAGATCCAAAGCAACTCTTTCTAGTAGCCTTAACTACCTTTTTGGTAGAGAGGTTCCATGTCCACCAGTGTGGTATAGCATGATGAGCATTAGCTTTGGAGCCAAAGGTCCTGAATTCAAATTCTGTCTCTGATACTTACATGACCTTGGATAAGTTATTCAGCCTCCACAGGCATCAGTTTTTCTCATCTGCAAAACAAAAAGATTTCACCAGATGGTCTCTGAGGTTTCTTCTAGCTCTAGATTGATGGTCCTGTGATCATGTAATTTTTTTCCGTCCATGTTCGTGGACCTCCTGAAATCTATTCATGAACCCCTTGATTCTGCGGACTCCAGGTTAAGAACCTCTGGCATAGCAGGAGAAGAGAAGTGTTCAGAACAAAGCCTTGGAATACACCCATGGTTAGTCGTCATAACTTGGATGAAAAACAAACAAAAGAGACAGAGACATGGTTAAACAGGTAAGAGGAAAACCAAAGAGAACGGTCGAGAAAACCTAAAGGGAAAAGAATATTCAGGAAAAGAGAGTGATCAACAGCGTCAGAGTTTGCAGAGAGATCGAGAAGGATGAGGACTGGGAAAAAGTAATTAGATTTGCAATTAAATGTCATTGTTGACTTTGGAAAGAACAGTTGCCAGCAGATGAGAAGATCAGAAGACCAACTGCAAAGGACTGAGTGAGAGAAGAGAATGTACATGCACCAATTGTGAAGATTTTCTCAAGAAATTTAGCTAAAAATGGAGATAAGACATATAGGTCTGTAGACAGCAGGAATGGTGGGGTCAAGCAAGGGCATTTTACAATGAGGGAGACAGATATGTTTACAGACAGCAGGAAATGAGCCACTGGACAGAGAGAGAGAGTGGGGATGTTAAAAGGGGCAATCCATCGGAGAAGACAGAATTGGATGAGGCATGTGTTTGCCTTAGCAAAGAGAAGATTCACTTCTTCAAAAGAGACAGAAGTAAAAAGGGAAATTTATTTCACCTAGGACCAAAGAGCTATCTGTGCTCCCATCATAAATCCAGTGGGGATTGATAGCATTCTAGAAGAGGAGACTCCCCTCCTGTGTTAGGCAATGAGGCTCTTCCAAGGATAAAGAATTTCTATTCCCAAGATAATACACTCAGTACTCCTGTACTTCCTCACCAAACAGGTTTCAGTAGTTGTGAAAGAATCTGAGCATCTGCCTTATAACTTTCAAGTAGTCTTTGGACCTCAACAAAAACAGAATTTGTGTGATCTGTATGTGGGAAGATGAGGTTTGTTGTTTGGTTTTTTTTTTTAATGTTATTGATATATTTGCAGAATTGGTTTTTTTTACATCACTAAAATTTCTCTCAATATCCCTTCCCCTCTCCCTGTCTCAGAGACCAGCCCAGATAATAAATATATAGAAAAAAGAGAGAGAAAACATCAAACTAATCAATACATCTTTTAAAACTCTAAAATGATGTACAATGTACCATACATCTGAAAAGAAGTGTGTTGGGGGGTGTCTTATCTCCCTTTTTTGGAGCAATACTTGTTCTTTGTAATTTTGCAATATTAGTTTTTGATTGCTTTGTGGATAATGTAATCATTATGTATATTGTTTTCCTGGCTCAGCTTACTTTACTCTTCATCAGATCATGTAAATCTTTCCAAACTCCTCCATATTCATCGTATTCTTTATTTCTTATAACACAGGTTTATTCCATTACATTCACATAGCACAATTTTTTAGCTAATTCCCAACTGATGAGCATGTTATTTCCAATTCTTTGCTATCACAGAAAGTCTGCTATCAATATTTTACTGTACATGGTGGCTTAGAAAATTATTTTCAGTGTATAGTCATTCCCAGAAAACAGATCTGATGTTGTACGGGATCATAAAAAAGGCATAACTAAATTACCAGCTTCTTAGAGCCCCCAAAATCCCATGGAAAAACATTAATAAAGGTATACATTTCCCCCTGCCAGCCTTTCTGTTACCACCCCTGCCCCTGCTCTCACTCTGTCTCCCTTCACTTCTCACGCCTTACCTCTTCCAGAGCCATTTAGAGTATTCATTCTGTCCTACTGCACTCCGAATGCAATAGGATTTCTGCCTGTAAGAACTCCTATGTGGTTTTTGCAGTGGAAGCAAAAGTTGTTTTACTGTGGGTGTGTTTATGTGTCTGTGGGTTGTGTGAAGATAGTTGTTGTTGTTGTTTTCAAAGAAAGGTTCTGTATGATAGAGTTCTTACCACTTTTCAGTAAAAGTTAGTAGATGTAGGTAGAATCTCTGGGGCAGGCAGCTGGGGGAGGGCACATACATCATTTTCGAGGATGTTTTTTCAGAGTCTGATCCTGTTTCTTTGCATTGTTTCTCATCTCTTTTTCAGTAATGAAATTGTAAGGAGCGATTTGAAGAAGCTGCCAGCACTTCCCACCCAAGCACTGAAGGAGCATCCATCTCTGGCTTACTGGTAACTTACCCATAGATCTCCAGACTTTAGTCATCCTTTCGCCTGAGGCTTTCCCTTCTCTTGCATGCTTAAAAACTAAATCTCCTCACCTGTCTATTCCTCTGCCAGGTTAACCAGAGAGGATTCTCCTATCAGTCCTTTGTCCTACGTATTCTGTTCAACTGTTCAATAAGCTTAGGTGTGCATTAGATTTCTTTGTGAGATTATGTATTATGGTAAAATAAAACACTGGGTGCTGTGACCATGAGGAGCAGTGAGTTTTGTTTTTAATCTGCTCTCTATGGTTTCATTTTGGAAACTTTGCCTGCTTCTAGAGCCTTTTATCTACTTCTAGAGTTTCGTTTTGAGAGCATTATCATCTAATGTCAGATATGCAAGGTTTCATGCTGCTGGGGAAAATGACAGGATTTTTTTTTCTTCTTTGCAAAAGAGATACTTTACCTGCAGCTTTCCACATCTCCAAAACTAGCTGCCATGTAACATAATACACTAGTTAACTACAGGACTTTCAGTTACTGATTATAAGTGAATTGGAAAATTGAAAAGTTCCCAGCTCGGTGTTTTGTTCATGAATGAGTGAGACTGGCATTCCTATAATGCGTGTTGAAATGATCTCTGGCTTTTTTCTACATTTCCTAAAATTTATTCTAGTCTTCTTACAAGCATTTGTAAGGTAACTTACTGGGAAACTTTAGAACTTTTTGCCCTTTAACAGTATGAAACACTATTCCAAAAACAGCATTCTGAAATAGCTACTCTAGGCTGTTTAACCAAAAAAAAACTTGTTACATGTTAGAGGCAAGTCAACTATGCTATACTGGAACATGGCCCTTTTTAAAACATTTGTAAATTTACATTCTGAGATACATGTATTGCCAATGTTTCACTTTGCCTGGACATATTTTCCACTCAACAAACTAGTATTTCTAAAACCAAAATAGTTTTAGCAAGCCTCTTTAGCTAAGAAAGGGCATGTCTTAATATTAGAAATTCAAAACATGTTTATACTTATCTGATAAAATCCCTTTTGCCTAAGAGACAGAATAATACTTAGGGAACCAACCTAGAAGTTGGAAAACCTATGTATTTACCATGACATGGTTATCCTGATTTTCAGTGTGATCATATCTCTAAATTCACCTCCATGACTTTGTAAAATCATAGGCTATCAGAGCTGAAAGGGACCTTAGAGGTCATCTAGTCCAAACTTTTTATTTTACAGATGGGGAAATTGAGGCCCAGAGAGGAGAACTGACTTGTGTGAGGTTAGATAGCTGGTTAGTGGTAAATCAAGGTTTGGCTTTTTTCAGTTCTAAAATAAGTATGCTATTGCTGTCCTTAAAAAAAAAATGCCATCGAGGTTAGTGCATAATGCCTGTTTGTTTTGTAATGTACCATTTTGTAGAATTGTAATTGGCTGTGTAGAGCAAAGTCTATTTAACCTGCAGGCAATTGAGCTACATAAACTTCCAGACCTATAGTCTTTCAATCATGTGCACTCACACAAAAAAAATATTTCTTTTTCCTTGTTCTTTCAAACCCATTGGCCATCATCCCCTGTATTCTTCAGCCCTCTGATGATTGTGCATCCTACAATGTAGTCCCATAATTCTACCATTAGTGCACATGACTGCACTCTCAGGAGGCCAGTAGTGAAACGGGTGGGAATGAAAGAAGTCACTATTGAAGTCTTTTCTCTCTTCTAGGATTAGAGGATATTTGCCACTGAGAATCACAAGGGAGAGGATTGACCTAAGCAGATATAGTCACTACTTATCTTTTAGTGTAGGGGAGAGATCCATCTCTATCCCTCAGTCACGTCTGCCTGTCTTCATCTATTTCCAAGTATTTTGCAGTCATTTATGTTCATTTGTTCATCATTTGCACGTTAATGAATTCATTATCCCTCCCTACCCCTAGGACTATATAGGTTCCATGAAAAAAAATATTTAAATTCTAATAGAATCATACTTATTATTTTTCCTCATGAAAATATTTTACATGCACTATATAATTATGCAAGAGTTTTATCAAGTGGAAAGGAATTTTCCCTTTCCTTCCCCTCCTTCTCTCTCTTTCTCTGTCTTCTCTTCTTCCTCCTTCTTTCTCCCACTCACATGCAAGTATACATCACTCATAAACTCATGTACATAACTTTCCCCCAACTTCTTTAATATGCTCTCTTTTTGATATAGATTTCTTTACCCATTTACCCCTCCCCCCATAGCTTCCATTTCACACACAACAGTCCATAGTTTTTCTGTCTTCATTCTCTACCTATCCTCTTAAGGGCCACACTCTTCTTGTCTATGTGCCCGCATGGAGACCCCAGGTGGGCAATCACCAGCCTCCTTGCTTTTCTCAAAATGGTTGTAGCGTAAGTCTGGGGCTTTGTTTCTCAAGCAGGTTCATTCAAGCTGCATAGCCTGGTTCCTGTATAAACAAGTCGGTAGCATGGCCTACCCTGATAACTCACTGCTGATTGAATAGGGTTCTTTTCCTCTTTGATTTTTTCATTGTTCTTGGCAGATATTCAGTAGTTCAGTCTATTTATTTGGAATTTTTCAGCAAAGCCCTTAAGGAAGGATATTTATATAATTATATTTTGTGCATATATATCTGCATATGGCATATGCTGATTATAGAAAACAGAATCAAAAATATCCATAATCCAAAGATGCTTGGGGAGGTTTTCTTCTTCATCTCCAGCCATCATCATTCATCACCCATGTCAAATACTATACATTATCAGATGGGAAGAAATATTCCAACTCATAAATCTATATACCAAACCAAGCCCTTCTCCTCCCTAACCTAGAATCATAGATTGTAGAGGTAGAAAATAACTCATTTTATAGATGAGGAGTATGAAGTTCATAGACGCCAAGTGCCTTGCCCATGACACAACTATAAGTGCCATTCAAGTCTTCCAACTCTTAAAATCCAGTGCAATTTCTTCCATACCACACTATCTGTGTTTGTGTTTTGCCAAATGAAGGCCATTCATCCCTTAGAGATTCTCCCATTCCATTTATTGGTTTGTTTTTATGTGTTAGACATCCCTCAGAAGAGAGTAGTATGCAGAGTAAATTCCTAACCTAGATCAGGGAAGGTATTGAGCTAACATGCTCAATTGGAATGTGTAATGATATATGAGTTGTAATCCCAGTATAGCCTCTGCATTGCTGTGTGACCTTGTACTAGATCATTTAATCATTCTTTCATGCCTCAATTTCATCTGTAAAATGGGGCTAACAATAGCAATATATTTACCCTAAGGTAATTGAGAGAAAATAAAAAGTCTCAGAATATAATTAGAAACTAATGAAAGGTACAGCATGATGTTGAGTAATAATGTAATAACTCTTTCTGCTAAGATTACCCTAGAAAAGTCACTTAACTCCTCTGAACCTCTGCTTCTCACTTTGTAAAATGGGTATAATATTTGTACTAGCTACCTCACAAGGCCAGTCTGAGGAAAGCATTTTATAAACCCTTAAGAACTATGGAAATGTGAACAAGTCCTGCTGCTGCTGCTATTACTACTATTACTACTACTACTGCTGCTACTACTGCTACTACTACTACTACCACCACCACCACCACTAATGGAAATACTACTAGGGAAGGACAATTTTAATTTAGACACAGTGCCAAGCCTAAAGCTAGTCAGTAGTTAGAATTAGAGCTATTTTAATATAAGGTAGCTGTCTTCATCTTTTCCTTTTATGTAAGGTTCTCCTTGTGCTGCCCCCAACCAATTAATTTTGTAAAGCTGGTTTATTATAGCTCCTGGATCTCTGATAGGTTGTTCCACCCAGGAACAATTATGTTGATAAATGTTTAAAAGCTGGTTTTCTGGAGATGGGAAGCTAAGTGGCATAGTGGATAAAGTGGTGAGCTTGGAATCAAGAAGATGATCCTCCTGAGTTCAAATCTGACCTCAGACACTAATTCATTGTGTGATCCTGGGCAAGTCACTTAAATCCTGTTTGCCTGTTTCCTTATCTGTAAGATGAGCTGGAGAAGGAGATGGTAAATCACTCCCAAATCAAGCCCTGATTCATAGCATTTGCTGATTTCTAAGGTGTTAATGTTCATACTGAATATTTAATAATTAACTTTTGCCAGTTCCAGCTGGCTCCATCAAACTCCTTATTCTACCTATTCTAGGCTGTTTCTTAGCGGTGAACCTGAGACCACTCAGGAGCTAAATGTCAAAAGGCCTGTGTATTTCAAGCATTTATGTGTTTCTCAGCTCATACTCATACTATAAATGAGTTTATACAGGACAGAAGAGGTTTAGATTGAGGCTTAAAAAAGGAAGGAGTCTAGGCAAAAAGTAGTTAGTTGTTGTGGCATCACCAAATTGTCCCAGAAAGTGGAGGGGAAAGTGGAGTCTGGGGTTAGGGGACCGTCTTCAGCTTGGAGAGTCCCATAACTGTCTGCAATTGTTAGCTTTTCACTTTAGGATGTACTGGAGAGAGCAGTGGCTATGGAACCAGAGAATTTTGATTCAGACTCTCACTCTGACTCACATTCCTTTTGTCATATTCGATAGATCATTTAACCTCTGATAGCCCCAGTTTCTTCACTTGCATCATTAAGAGGCTAGAAAAGATTGCCTCTGATCTGGAATGAGTCTTCATTAGCCTTAACTCTATGATCCATTATCACCAGATATGGCCGATGGAAAACTGAACAGGTGAAGGTCTGGCTGACCATTTTTACGTGTTTCATTGGTGTGCAACCATTTTTGCATGTTTCATTAGTGTCCATGTGCATAATTAAAAAGGTTTACACTGATTCTTTTCCCTGGGCTCTGCATAAGATGAAGGGGGAAAAAAAGTACTTAATGCCATTGATATGACCCAAGCTCTAGAAACTGACTTTGTAAAAACCCTATATGATACATAATTAAGGGTGCCAAAACAGTGTGGCATTTAGTGTAGGAGGCAGGTTGGTGCAAAGAAGCTGGGAAAGCAGCTGTGGCATCTCCTTCTGCCCACTTGAAACTGACTTTCTCTATCTAGTGTGAAATGAGGCACTACAAATTTATAGGCGTATATGTACTCATGGAAATATCCATAGACCAAGGATTCCTTCTGTTCTTGGAGAAAATGCTGCTCAGTGATTTCCTTTGCCATGTTAGCATGATTTTTTCCCCATGACTTGAAGTAGACTTACTAAGGCGGAAAAAAAAAAGCTTCAGTAGAAACAGAGTGAATCTCTTTAAATTCCTAAATGTCATGAAAATAGTTGTCCCAATGAAGATAGCTACTCCTTCCTTACACTTACCCTGCCTTCTCTTTCTTTGGGGGCAGTTGATAATAGTGACAGTTTATATCCAAATCTTTCATCTTTTCAAAGTACTTTCCTCGCAAGAACACTGTGAAATCTAAATATCATTATCCCCATTTCACAGACAAGCAAACTGAAAGGTTAAATTACTTGCCCAAAGTCGTATATAGTTAGGAAGTGTCAAGAGACAGGATTCAGACCTGATTTCAAATCCAACATGTGTTTCAAAATTCTGTAGAACTTTAATTGAAAAGTAGAATGCTGCGCATTTATGTAGCCTGTTTCAAATGAGCTCAGGACAGTATGCAGAAATATGCAAATCTCTGTTATGAACAAAATAAAATCTCAAAATATTAGAACAAAGACAGAGGAAAATTTGGGATAAATAAAAAAAAAGTAAGTCTTGATTCTGCTCCTTTGCTACCTGTATGATCTTGGGCAAGGCACTTAACTTTTCTGAGCCTCAGTTTCCCTATCTGTAAAATGAAGTGGTTCAACTAGATAACCTTCAGGCTCACTTTTTGTTACATGTCTATGATTCTTTGAAGGGCTACTATGTACAGTAGATAGAAAATTCATTGAATTTGTTGTGCCAAGACATATTACATCTATATTATAGATTCCATAGAAGTTCATTGGTGATATAGATCCATTATAGGTAGACCAACAATGTGGTTAAGAGCTCTCCTAAACTATTGATATTGAGATCATGCAGGACAACCAGGTCTTCTCACCAATGTTCCTTATAGTGCCACTCTGAGAAGGAGAGCATCAGATTGGATGAATCAGCTATTGGTCTCATTTAGTGTGGATATTTTTTTTTCTTGATTGAATGGAGATCCCATGGATTACCCTGAATGGTTCTCTTTCCACTGCACCCACTTTTTTGCATCTGACCAGGTTTTCTGTCCTTTGTGGAATGGAACCTTATTATCCCATGGCCCTTTTGAGGCTTTTAAATTATTTTTATTGCTGATAATAAATTTAAAAAGACAACTCATGAAAAGGCTTACTCTTATCCCACTCTTATCCACTGCTCATCTTTCTTATTTCTCTTAGAAAAAAATAATCCAGAGTATGCTGGTCATTTTGTGATAGAAGTTGGGAAAAGGGGCTGAATTGAAAACTGGATTAGGGGTATAGGTAAAAAGTTGGAGGACTGGAAACAGTGCTAATTCTAATGCTGGGGTCAGAGGAGCCAACCTTAGCAATGATGGAATATCACCCTTGGAGTTTGCCCTACTGAAACTTCTTCCTCCACCCTGACACTGAAAGTTCTGCTGCCACACAATTGAAACAGCCCTAGGGCAAGGTGATAAGTGGAGACTGTATGGGGATGGGAATGGAGACAGTGGACCAGGGAAGTGTGGAAGACTGAGGGATCCAAAAGAGAGAGAGGAGAGAATGCCCAAACAGTGGTTGGGAGCAAGGCAGGGAGGAGGGGACATGGGACAGTATCCTCAATAACACAGTCCATTCCTAGGTGAGTTCAGTTACCTTTATTTAACAGAAATTAAACCAAGGAACATCCATTCTTCCATGAGGTCCAGTGGCTGGACCATAGTTAGAACTCAGAATTTTTACCTGTCCTTCCAATCTACCAAGTTATTGGCACATGGACACAGGGTGAGCATAGGTTACAGTACCACCAGTGGCATTAAGTTACACTTGTAGGTGGTACTGGGTTCCATTGGCAGGCTTAAGAGATTAACAACCAAGTAAGTGTTATTATTGTCCTCATTTCCCTAATGAGGTAACTGAAGTTAATGGAGAATAAAGGACATGTCCAGTATTATATAACTCTTCAGTGTCCAGAACAGGATTCAAACCCAGATCATCTGGACTCCAAGTCCAGCACTCTACCCACCATGCCATGCTGCCTGTCCTTCACCTTATGCTACCGCAACACAGCAATGTCTTAGCACCTTGCAAGAGGCTATTCCCAAAATCTGGTCTCCAGCCACACCACTGTGCATTTGACTGAATTAAGAAAATTACAGTCAAGCTGGAAGTCCTTTGAGGAAAATTGTTTCTTAATCAATCTCTAGGCAGTCTGTGCGAGAAATCTTTTATGCTGAGAATGAAAATGCCACTGCAGTGGGGAAAAATCTTTTCCACCTGGAGTTGTCTGGCCCTGGAATCATCTGGGAATGATCCTTTGAGGAGAAGTAGTTCACGTAGCAAGAGGCTCACTCATTAACCTGTACAATAATTAAATGATATTCCTTCTCTTTCCAGTGAGGACAGAGTAATAGAACACTACAAGAAGCTGAACGGTCAAACCCGAGGCCAAGCAATTGTAAAGTAAGTAGGAACTCTCCAATGTTAATGAAGGTTGTTTTTGTTTGTTTGAAAACTTCCCTAAGGATAATGTTACCTTCAAGTAAGTGACTGACAAGGGAAATCTTCCATGCAAAAGAATATAGAATAAACTAATTTTTACTGAATGACATCTTTGGCATATTTTCTTTTTGTGTTCACCTGTTGTATTCCTTATTCTACAGCTATATGAGCATCGTAGAGTCTCTCCCTACCTATGGAGTACATTATTATGCAGTGAAGGTAAGTGACTCCAGAATAGAGGAACCCAGTTTTTTAATGGTAACAAACCTTCCTCTTGAAAAATATCCTTCTCAGTTTTCCACTGAAGCCATGCTAAAGATTTTGCTGTTGTATTCCTTTAGTTAAAAGGGTTGTATGCTCCAAGCATAAAAGTCAAGAGAATTACTAAATTCTGTTCCTTCCAATTAGAGTGAATACAAAAGTAATAGCATACAAGAAGCCAAACTGGACACAACAAAAGTCAAGCAATTGTAAATATCATCTCTTTTGAAAGCTCTATGTATTAACATAAGACTTTTCTAGTCTTACCTCAATTTTTTCCATATGTATGCTAGGTGGCATAGTGGATAGAGCTCTGGGCCTGGAGGAAGAAACACCAGAGTTCAGATCTGGCCTCACACACTTACATGTAACCTTGGACAAATTACTTAATTTCTACGTGCCTCAGTTTCCTCAAATATAAGATGGGGATAAAATAGTAGGTGCTTAATAAATGCTCATTTTCTTTTTTTTGCCATCATCTTTGATTTTGTTATTTTTTTTCACTTCCACAAGTTTTTGAGTTCCAAATTTCTCACCCCTCCCCCCACCCCAAGATGGCATGCATTCTGAATACCCCTTCCCCTGGTCTGCCTTCTCTTCTATCTCTCCCCCTCCCTTCTCTTATCCCCTTCTCCTTCTATTTTCCTATAGAGCAGGATAGACTTCTGTACCCCCATTTCCTATATTTCCTATTTCCCAGTTGCATGTGAAAACATTTTTTTAAAAACATGTGTTTTTAAAACTTTAAGCTCCAAATTTTCTCCCTTCCTCCCTCCCCACCCACCCTCATTGAAAAGGCAAGCAACTCAGTATAGGTTGTACATGTGCAGTTATGCAAAACACTTCCTTAGTAGACATGTTGTGAAAAACTAACTCTATTTCCCTTAATCCTATCCTGCCCTCCCATCTATTCTATTCTTTCTTTTGACCCTGTCCCTCCTCAGAAGTATTTGCTTCTGATTACCCCTTTCCCAATCTGCCCTCCTCTCTATCACCCCCTGCTTTCTTGTCCCCTTCTCCCCCTATTTTCCTGTAGGGTAAGACAGATTTCCATACCCAATTGAATGTGTATGTTATTCCCTCCTTAAGCCAAATCCTATGAGAATAAGATTCCCTCATTCCCTCTCACCTTCCCCTGTTTCCCCTCCACTGTGAGAGACTTTTCTTTTTGTTTTTTTGTGAGATAATTTACCCCATTCTACCTCTCCCTTTCTTCTCCGAGTATCATCCTCTCTCATCCCTTAATTTTATTCTCCAGATATGACCCCTTAATCTTCAACTCACCCTGTGCCCTCTATCTATCTATCTATCTATCTATACATACATACATATTTTTTTCCTTCAACTACCCTAATACTGACAAAGTTCTCATGAGTTACAAATATCATCTTTCTATGCAGGAATGTAAACAGTTCAATCTTAATAAGTCTCTTATGATTTCTCTTTCCTGTTTACCTCTTCATGTTCCACTGGAGTCCTGTATTTGAAAGTCAAATTTTCTGTTTAGCTCTGGTCTTTTCATCAGGAATGCTTGAAAGTCCTCTATTTCACTGAATGACCATTTTTTCCCCTGAAGGATTATACTCAGTTTTGCTGGGTAGGTGATTCTTGGTTGTAATCCTATCTCCTTTGCCCTCCGGAATATTATATTCCATGCCCTGCGGTCCTTTAATGTAGAAGCTGCTAAATCTTGTGTTATCCTGATTGTGTTTCCACAGTACTTGAATTGTTTCCTTCTGGCAGCTTGTAATATTTTCTCCTTGACCTGGGAACTCTGGAATTTGGCTACAATATTCCTAGGAGTTTTCCTTTGGGGATCTCTTTCAGGAGGAGATCTGTGGATTCTTTCAATTTCTATTTTGCCCTCTGGTTCTAATATATCAGGGCAGTTTTCCTTGATAATTTCTTGAAAGATGATGTCTAGGCTCTTTTTTTGATCATGGCTTTCAGATAGTCCAATAATTTTTAAATTCTCTCTCCTGGATCTATTTTCCAGGTCAGTTGTTTTTCCAATGAGATATTTCACATTGTTTTCTAATTTTTCATTCTTTTGGATTTGTTTTACAGTGTCTTGATTTCTCATAAAGTCACTGTCTTCCAATTGCTCTATTCTAATTTTTAAGGAAGTATTTTCTTCAGTAATCTTTTGGACTTCCTTTTCCAATTTGGCCAATTTTTCTTTTAGGGCATTTTTCTCCTCATTGGCTTTTTGGACCTCTTTTGCCATTTGGGTTAGGCTATTTTTTAAGGTGTTATTTTCTTCAGTATTTTTTTGGGTCTCCTTTAGCAAGCTGTTGACTTGTTTTTCATGATTTTCTTGCATCACTCTCATTTCTCTTCCCAGTTTTTCCTCTACTTCCCTTACTTGCTTCTCAAAATCCCTTTTGAGCTCTTCCAAGGCCTGGGACTGATTCATATTTTTCTTGGAGGCTTTGGATGTAGGAGCTTTGATTTTGTTGTCTTCTTCTGGTTGTATATTTTGATCTTCTTTCACCAAAGTAAGATAATATAGTCTGACTCTTTTTGCGCTGCTTGCTCATGATCCCAGCCAATTACTTGAGTTTTAAACTCTTTGTTAAGGTAAGAGTCTGCTTCCAATGTGGAGAGTGTACTGTCCCAAGCTTCAGGGGTTTGTGTAGCTGTTTTCAGAGATACTTGTAGGGACCTGTAAATTTTCAGTTCTTCCAAGGTGGTATGATAAGGGGCGAGGTGTTTACTCCTTTCCTGGCCTGTGACCACAAGTATTCCTTTCTGTCCTGTAACTGTGAGGAGGGGTTCCTCTCCACAGCCACTACAAGCTCCACCATGCCAGCGCTCCTCCTCACCCCAGCACTGCCCAGAACTGTGACCCAGATCCACACGGGCAAAGCAAGAGATTCCTGCGTCAGCACTGGCAAACAGATCCCTGCAGTCCCTCTCTGATCAGCCACTGGCTTCCCCCTCAGTCTGTGGGCTGGAAGCTCGGGAAGCAGCTGCCCACCCCAGGGCCACGCTCTTGGGGAATGGAGCTGAAACCCCGCCTTCCTCTCTGACCACCGACAGAAACAGACTTTTCCCACTGACCTTCTAAGTTGTCTTTGGCATTGGTGGATTGAGGAGTCTGGAAACCTCCACAGCTGCCCCCGATTCAGTCCTCTGAGGCCTGCTCCAGGTTTGCGCACCCACGCTGTGCTGCGCTCCCAGCCCGGGATACACCTTTCTGATCAATCATCCAGGTTGTCTTGGGCTGGAAATTTGTTTCACTCTGTCTTTTTGTGGGTTCTGCTGCTTCAGAATTTGTTTAGAGCCATTTTTTATGAGTATTTGGAGGGGTTTGGGGGAGAGCTCAAGCAAGTCACTGCTTTCACTCCTCCATCTTGGCTCCACCCCCTCAGGATCACCAATAAATGCTCATTTTCGTCTTTCCTTTCTTCTGTCCTTCCTTTGGACTTTATTCAAGTTACATTAATCAATTCAACTTCTGTGATAGAGCCACATGCTAGGATTGTATACTAGAAGACCAGGGCTGAAGGTCACATGATATATTCAGAATGCTTCTTGTTTAGTCTAGTTAACTTATTTCAAATTCTTACAAGATTTGCATTCACTAAGTTTTCTTTGATACCTAACCTAAGTGTGTAATGAAAACCCTCTTCCCACTGTTTTGTCTTCATGGAAATGGAGGATAATTAGTCACCACCTTCAATTAATTAACCCATCATACACTTCTGAACATCAGAGAATTTCAAGTTAGAAGGGCTATCCCATCGCATACTCTTCTTCAGACTGGGCCTCTTGGACTGTCCTCTGCTAACTTTGGTTGAGTGACTTGTAAAATGAAATCATGCCAAACCTGTTATAGGATCCTCAGATCCTGAGGAAGGAGTCAAGGAAGAATCAAGCATTTACTTAATGCCTGCTGCATGCCAGGCACTGTGCTAAGCACTTTATAAATATGATCTCATTTGGTCCTCACGACAACTCTGGGAGGTAGGTACTAGCATCTTCCACTGTGCCACCTAGCTTCCTGAGTTGGAAGACTTGCAAGCCCAATGGATTATAACCAAAGAAACCTGTAGCTAATCTAGCTACTTGAAGGAAAGGAGTTTATTAACCTGAGGAGACTGGGAATTCATTACACTTTGGCTCTAGTATTGAGAAGTACTCCCATTTTTAAATTAGGTGCTTTTAAGAGCTACTAAATTCATTCCAGTTTGCCCTGCTATTACTTCAGAGAGGAAAAAAAATTCCAACTATTATAAGAGAACGCTCATGGAAACAAAATTATGTATTTTGTTTGGCTTTTTTTTTTACTTTAGAAATATTCCAAATTGAGGAATAGCACAGGGATCTGAGCAGAAAATTAGAAGCCTAAAATTTTTCATTTCTAAACTCCAATTCATTGTTTGCTCTGAGAGAAAGACTTAATTTCAATTTTTCTTTCTCAATATGGAGGTTAGAATTCTCTTCAACCTACCAACTCCAAAGGCTTCTATAAATATTCCAAAGAATATGACAAGTCTGGTGGAGACTTTAAACTTCACTGCCCATGGTAGGCCTTTGCTTGGACTGCTTTACAATTTAACAAAAGATTGCTTTATGTATGCCCTTCTTGTATGTATTCTGTCTTTGAGTAAACTTTGGAAATGTGCTTTTTTTGTTCTTTATGTTAGTGAGCAGCAATAAAGCTTGAGGAGACTAAATGACTTAGGATTCTTGACTCTTATGGAATTTCAAAGCATCGGTAATTGCTCAACTCCCTCTTTGAGTAGAAGGCATAGGAGTCCAAGTCTGCCTAAATCAGTTGTATCAAGATGTAACATTTTGTAGCCCTGCTATTTCCCTAATGCATTCTCTTATGGGGTTATAAATATGCTAACCTGCTTAATCCAGTGTTTCAGTAATATAGATTCACTCCTGCTATGATTACTGAAAACGTGATATATAGACATGGATTTTGTCAAGAAGCTTCAAGCAAAGACATGACATCTTTACAAATATGCTTTAAAAAACCCCACCCATACCCTATATTCAAAGCCTCAAAAACAAACAAACAAAAAAAACCAACCATTTTTCTCCAAATAAAATCCTATTCTGATAGACGGGAAGTTTTACAGAACTACCCCTGAGGCCCTGAGACATGCCAGGCTTTAAAAACATTTGCCATCCTACAGGTTTCGGCTCTCAGTGAGATCAGAGTTAGAGACACCTGGTTATTAGTGGGCATTATAACGTTCTCACCATAGACCTGTAGCATCTTTGGGGTTAGTTAACAGCCCTTGAAACTCCAACAAAGAAGAACATCCTTTTTATATCATATAAAGGAAAATGTAATCTAGTCCACCCTTCTGGAAGTCACTTTGTAAATTTTTGATGACTATGTCTACATATAGATATAGATACACAAATGTGAAGTATTAGGCAGATGTTTAGAATAACTATTAAAATTTTACTATCTAGTGACAAAAAAACTTCTATTTAAGTAAGAATCTTTAAGTTTTCGTTTCTATGCTCTTCCTTCCTCTCTCCTGCTTTCCTTTTTCCTTCTTTCCTCTCCTCCTTGTCTTCCCTTCTTTCCTCCCCTCTTTCCCTCTCCTCTTTCTTTTCTCCTTCCTTTCTACCCTTCTTTCCTTTTTTTTTCCCTTAAATCTCCCAGGTTCTATTCCAATACTGATAAAACAGCTCTGTTTTTCTGACCTAGGCTGGTTTGCCCCTCTTTAGAGGCAGCCTGCTGACCCTCCTGTCCTGGTTTACCTTATTATTGCCTGATTTAGTGTGGATCACTCATTACATTTTTAACTCTACTGCTGTTCAGAACTCCCAAACTCAGGCAATCCACCAGCCACAGCCTCCCCAGAAAAAGGGACTACAGGCATGCACATTATTATAATAATAATCATCCCACTGGATGCCCAAATGCCCTCTTGCATTGTCATTTACAACCTTTTGCTATACAACTCAGAAACTGTCCTTGTCAGTAATTCCTCAGTTCCAGAAAGCCATCTTTATTGTTCTGCTCTAAACTCCCACAAAATGCATTTATTCATTTCTGCTGAATGAGGGAACCAGCCCTCAATTCCCAAAACCCCAAGAGTAAAAAGGACAAGGCATTTCTCATAGAATCATAGCATTTTAAAGCTTGAAGGGACCTTAGAAATAATCTAGTTCAACACCTCCTTTTACAGCAAAGGAAACCAAGGCCCAGAAAGGATTTCCATGTAAAGTTATTGTTTATTCTTACTTAGTATGCATGTGGTTACCTAAGGTCACCCTGATAATAAGTGGTACAGCTGGGACTAGATTCTATGGTCCCTGACTCCTGATCCAGTACTCATTCTTCTTCAGCATTGTGCGTATAGTAAACCCTCACTAGATCATGGAACCCTGTAAGAATTGTATATAGTAGATGAAGCTCCTAACTTTGAGCAACCTATAACACGGGATGTTAATACTTTTTAAATAACTTTTGGAATAATGATAAAAATCACAATCATGATGATAATAAGCTAGAATTCATAATTCTGTGCCAGTTCCTAGACATAATTAAAGCTGCCTTTGGAAAAATTCAAAATGAACAAACCTTCCCTGTGTCAAGTTCCACTCTCCCTCCACCTCCTCAAATGAACCAGGGACTTTTCCCCTGGTTCATCTTTAAACTTCTGCCTCTGTAGACAATGATATTAATCCTACCTCACTTCACCCCACCCCCTTTTTTTTTTTTTAATATCCTAGGATAAGCAGGGAATTCCATGGTGGTTAGGACTCAGCTACAAAGGAATTTTCCAATATGACTATCATGATAAAGTGAAGCCAAGGAAGGTAAGTCTGTTATTATTTGTTGTATTAATGTCTTGCTATCTTAACTAGCCCGATGGAGGAAACAGTTGGTCTGGTAAACATGCCAGTCATTTAAGGAGATAGGCATCACTTAAAACTCATCACAGATTTCCCTAAGCAAGTTATTTTCCTTGTCATCACAAAGGAAAACTAAAAGTGAGAAGGCCAGGTTTCTCTTGTCTCTGATCCCCAAGAACCAATGAATGATGTATTTAGGAGAAAAGACAAACCATAAAATCCATTGTTTGGGGTTTGGGGGGAGGTTTTATACAACTGGTTAACTCACTCTGACAACTTTTGTTCCCTAAAACAGAAGTGTTTGTGAGCCTTGATAGCCTATTGCATTCCTTAATGTACCAGAGAAAAGGGGGAAACATAAAATACATTTGAATGGGGAGAGTACACATAAATCAGTGACAATATCCTTTGACATGAAGACATTGATGATAAATCTGGAAAAACTAAAGGACATGCAGCAGAGAGGGGAAAGCCAGGCAGGAAGCTGTTACCAAACTCATTGTCAACACACAACAAAAGGTTTGAAGGGGCTTCCTTTCCTTTTTTTCCCTTAGTTTTCACACATTTCCCAGACCAGAACAAATTGAAAAATTATAATGGAAAGATCTCCAAGGAAAATACTAACAATCAGGTTTCCTGGCAGAGAATGATGGCAAGAAACCAGTTCAAATTCAGAGACTCGTATTAAAAGCATATCAAGAGAGATGGCAATATCGGCCTATTATGTCATCCTAGATAGCTTTCCAATCTTCTTTATCCATGAGTAGAATTGTAAGGCACTTTGCATATCTAAGTTTATTTTAGTTTATCCAATTAGTATTTGGCCATAGTTTACTTCTTTATTAAACTGGTAGAATAAAGTGGCCCCAGAGAGGAGAATGTTAGTTTGGTTATCATTGAGTCCACTAAGTTCAAAGAAAGGAATTTGGACAGAAGATGGATGGATGGTTCACCGGGGAACAATTCAGTAGGAATTTGGCTCTTTGGGGGGCTAGGGAGTGATGTGTATCATTATGTGGCTGTCTTTGAAATCTCTCCAGTTTTCGTTTTTATAATCCATAAGAGGAGCTGGGTATTTCATTCTTATTTTTCCACCTCTCTGTGTCTCTGTTGCCTGTTTCCCACACTGCCTCTTTGAATAATCCTCTATGCTGTTCTAACTCTCTTGCTCTCTTTCATTCCCTCATTTTCTCCCCTACATACCTCTTCATTTTAGAATAATGTAATATTAGCTCTGAATTGGGACCTTAAAAGTCATCTCTTCAAACCATATTCCCATTTTCCAAGTGAAGAAAACAAGACCCAGAGAGGTGAAGTCATTTGCAAAAATCACCCAGAATTAAATGATAGAGCTGGGATTAAAACCAGGCTTTTGACCCAAAGTTCCAGCTTCTTGCCACTAAACCATTTCGTGTTACGAAGGAAGAAAAAAAACACCAGGATCTTCTTTAACAGAGCTTTGTCAACTCATAATTATTCATACCAAAAAATAGAATGTTAACATCAAAAACTGTCATCTGCAAAATGGATAATTCAACTCTGATAGCTTCAAACCCCCATCTCACCAAATTTTTACCAAGAAGCACTTACAGGTATCCACATTTATTAAATTTTGTGTCGCCTCTTTTTCTGACACAACTCTAGTTCAGATACCAGTGACCAGTGATAACACTCAAAGCCAGAATCAAGACCAGAAACCTCAGTACTCGGTGTCTGAGTCAACAATAACTGTACAGGATCTATCCAGGTTAGGGACTTAACAATGAAAAAAGGTTTGTTTTCTCTTGGTTATTATTTGAAAGCTAGACTAGGTTAATATTAAAAAAGCTATCATGTTTCTGTGACTTCTGAGGAACTGTTTGAGTTATCTTAAAATGTGTTTGTAACTGAGGTACAATAGGTTATCAAATCCAAATCCTTTGTGGATTCTCTTTTTGGATATCTCAGCTGGGCTGCCATAGTACTAAATCATAGAGACTGTTGTGGGCTAGCTTGAAGGCCCATTGAAAGTAAGAGTAGGAGATGAAGAAAGCATAATCCTACTAGGAGATTCATTCCATAGCCATGAATAAAGAGCCTTACTTCTATGTCGCAATTAGAGTCCTAAATTAGTGTTGAGTTGAGACTTAATAATAGCTGGCATTTTTGTTGTTGTTCAGTTGTTTCAGTCGTGTCTAATTCTTTATGACTTCATTTGGGTTTTTTGGGGATTTTTTTTTCTGGCAAAGATACAAGAGTGGTTTGCCATTGCCTTCTCCTTCTCATTTTACAGATGAGGATACGTAGGCAAACAGGGTTAAGTGATTTGCCTAGCATCACAGGGCTAATAAGTGGCTGAGGCCAGATTTGAATTCAGAAAGAGGAGTCTTCCTGACTTCAGGATATTCATTGCGGCCACCTAGCTGCCCACACATGAGAAAATAAAGGACACAGTAATAGTCACATTATGAAATGACTGACATTGATAGACTTAGCTCTTCACAGCAACTCAAGACGACTCCAAAAGGTTCATGATGGAAGTTGCTATCCACACCCAGAGAAAGAAATATGGAGTCAGAATGCAGATGGAAGCATACTATTTGTGCTCCTTTTCCTTTGTTGTTTTGTTTTATTGCTTCATTCTCGTGGTTCCTCCCATTAGTTCTAATTGTTCTTTACATCATGACTAATGGGAAAATATGCTTAATATGACTGTATAAGTAGAGCCTATATCAGATTGTACATTGTCTTGAGTGGGGAGGGGGAGAAGTGAGAGGGAGAGAAAATTTAAAACTCAAAATCTTATGGAAGTGAATGTTGAAAACTAAAACTAAATTAATTCAAAACAATAAATTTCCATTTCAAGAAAAAAAAGAAAATAAAGGACAATAAAAGGCTTAAGCACAGAATTATGATAAGCACAAAATAATTGATCTTCTGGGCCTAATGGCTCCTTTACATAAAAGTGTCTGTCCGTTAATGTAATTCTATTTTAAAATAAGACTTTGGGAGAAGAAACTAGCTAAGATGTGTACCCAATAATGTGTATCCCTAAAGAGAAACTGATGAAAAACTGGAATCCCAAGAGACCAAAGTCAGGGTGAACATGTCACAAGTCCCACTGAGCTCATAGTACCGACCAGCCTTTTTGTAGGGCACCACCACATTCCCAAAGCCATATCAACTGAAGCCTCACGACGGCACTTAGAAAGGAGTAGGGGGTGGCCTATACCCTGCACTCTGCATGCAAGTCTTCTCCACCGTATTACTTCCAGTTTAGGCCGCTCTTGCCCCAGCAACAAGCTTAAAGTTTTCCTAGAGCTTCTGACCCAGTTGAAGCAGGGGTGGCAAGTGGCATGATGATAATATGAGCACATGAATGACCACAGTAGCAGGGGTGAGGATGTCCTCCCATCCTTTGAGGGCCCAGAGGCATCCTGTGGTAAGCAGGGTTTTAATGACTTTAACAAACAATTAACACAGTCAGAAGAGCTAAGCAGCCTAAACAGATCCTCTGGAATGTTTCCATATGCCTTACAAAAACATTGCCGGCATGCTGAAAGCTCTCCAGAAATGGCAACTGACTTTTGGAACTTGCTAGGTTTTCCAACTCTGGACTGGGGGAGTTTTCACAGCTTTTCTTCCATGTGCCAGGGAGATCAGATATTGTACTGCATAGCTCATTCACCCTTCTGGGTTTGGGCTGCCTTTTGGGAAGAAATAAAATATAGCTTCCCCTTTAGAAGTAGGATGGAATAGAGGAAGTATCCTGTACCAGGCACTAGTGGTTCGAAATCTCCTTCAAAAAGGGTGGCCCTTGGGGCAGCTAGGTGGTACAGTGGATAGAGCTCTGGCCTTGGAGTCAGGAGGGCCTGAGTTCAAATCCAGCCTCAGACACATAACGCTTACTAGCTGTGTGACCCTGGGCAAGTCACTTAACCCCATTGCCCGACCAAAAGAAAAAAAGGGGTGGTGGCCCTGCTTTCTTCTGGGATCCACTTTTGCCCAGGAGTCCATTGCCCTCACCCCATTTCCTGGAGACCACCTTGATGAATAAGATGCTGTGTAGAACTAGAACTCAGCCTAATACATGGCTTCTAAATCTTTGAGAAAAAGGCCAAAAAGAAGCCATTTAGCTCACCAGGAGTTGTTAGACATGTGACAGAGGGGACCCTGCAGACTAGCCATTTGTGTTGCTCTTAATCCTTTCAAGCTCAAATGTCAGTTTGGGAAGTATTCTGGGGCTGCACATGCAGAAGTCTCACAAAACTACCCCAAATATGCAATACCTAAATATAGAAAATCAACTGTTTGTACTCACCCCCTGCAAATTAGCATTTGCCCAAATGCCTCTGTACTAAAGGAAATCCACTTTACAAATCTAAAATTTCTAGAAAGGATTTGAACAAGCGGCCACTTTGTCCCCTCCATCAGCATCTTGGACCCCCCCTTTTTCTTTCTTTCCCCAACTATTCATTCTTTCTCATTCTCTTACCCTCCCTCCCCACTTCTGTGCTCCTTTCAGCATCAAAACACTGTGTACCATAACCAAACACACCTTTTTGTGATCTTATCTTTTTGTTTCTTCTTTCTCATGGCTCCTTTATATTAAGTTTTATGGGGATTTGTGTTGCCAGTGGGAGTATTTTCAGGTGTTTGTACTGACAGAATACATTTGTGTTGAGTTTTTTAGACCACTGTAAGAAAAGATTAGAATTTGGCACTGGCAAATATGAGTAAATGTGGCCTATAGGCTTTTTTTTTTTTTAGCATACCTGCCAGTCTGTACATGTGTGTACAAGAAGGGGACAATTCAGTGCAAATGTTGCATTTGTTTCAAGAAGTAATGAAGCAAATATAATCAAACTGGTAGTTCTTGCTGATGATAAAACTTAAATTTTGTGTTGACTTGAATAACTGGTCAAAGAAGTGGACTTAGATTACTGGGGAGAACCTTCAGCTGTTTTCGTTAACCAATGACAGTG